TTTCAATTTATCAGGGATAGTGCCTGCCTAATTTGCATGGCGTTTACTAGCATTACTGAGGATTATCGAAAGAAAGTACATAAAGGGGCTTGCTATCGTGAGACATTATCTAAATCCACATCATCATGCTATTTCATGGGAAAACTGGCAGCAATTTGGCCCAGGCTGATGTCCACAAATCCACTTAATGTGTAAATGATCATGGCACCTAAGGATCTGCATCCCTCTTTTTTGGTCCAAGCTCTCTTTATCCTAAATTAATTTAGGTGAGCAAGCTAAAGAACTTCCAGGATGACTTCAGGCCAATGGGAAGATAACATACATATACAGCAATCATATTCTTTCTGTTATTAGAGTAGGGGTGGTATAAATGCTGCAGACTATAGCATTAAAAATAATTTTTAAATGGACAGTTAAAAACGTACTATTCAATACATGGAACATGGCCTTGGTAAAGACACTTACAATTTTGGGGGGTCTGCAAACAATACTATTACTGTCTAGTAGTTTCTTGGCAATAATTTCAGAGCTGTGGGATCGCAAAGGGGCCCAGGGCCATGATTATACATAAACTATATTTAGATGAAATGTTATCAAATCTGAAAAGGAGATATGTTCTGAACTCAGCTTAATTCAACTGCACTCTGCCCTTCTACACAGTAACCAGTTATTACATTCACAGGATTGTTAACAATAAAGCTTTGTGTAAAAACGTGTTCTGCCACTATTTCTGGTAAACACTAAACACTCCTTATTAAGCCAAGGACTTTGGCTGATTCTGTTGGCACCAAATCATTATATGTTCATGTAAATAGTGCAATAACATTTGATGATTAAACAAGGAACAAGGTATGCTTATGCCACGCTCTTTTACTCTTTTTAAATTGGTTGTTAATACAGTGTGCTTTTTATATATGGTCTCACGTTCAGATGTGAACTAAATCTTCCCCGAGATGCATTAGTATTTTAAATATGCACTATGTTGTCCTACTGATTTATGATTATTTCCACAAGAAATTGCAAATTCACTCAAAATATGCAATTCACTTATTTAATCATTTGGCTTGAGAAATTATAGGAATTCCTGTAAGTCTCTGTGTTGAGGTAGAAATGGTTGCTTGTTTACTTGTTTTTTGGACAGAATGAGAAAGAATTAAGCATAAAGCTAAGCCGACTGACCAGCCATGGGCAGGTGTTACTGAGATGACTGCTGTCACCATTTCATGCCACCATTGTTATCAATTGCTTAGCTATTAGTGACATGTGAAAAGGAACAAGCTACCTGAGAGGGAGTTCAAAGACTTGAAAGTCTTTCTTTAGAAATGTGGTGAGAAAACTTAGCTAAGAATTATGGTTTGATCTTCTGTGTTTACTGTTTAGAAATGTACTCCAATTACTCTCGCATGAGCAGTGTTTACAGTTTGACAAGGCACGAAGTCTTTACTGTTATTTTTTGAGTTTCAGTGTTGAACGATTTTGTAAACTGATAACACACACCACACTAGACGCTGTTAGCAAATCTATTTTGTGATCTTATTGAATGTCAGATGACTCAACTGAGAATTATGTGGAGATGTTAAATTGAACTTCTCCATCAAAAGCATCGCTCTTGCTGGCAGAGTGTGGACAGTATTTACAGACATTAAGGCTGAGCTTGGCTAATTAACCAATAATAAAGTAAGTGAGCACATTACCAATACTGAGTACCTGAATGCCGATTAAAATGTCATTTGTGACTTGACCCAGCAATGATTTTACATCTTCAATGGTGAAACCGACTAAAGCATCCATGTCTGAAGTGTCAGTTTCTGTCTGGGACTCCTCTGGGCCCTGTTCTTGGTCCAACCCCTACAATATTAAAAGTAAACAACACTCAAGTGACATGTGGAGCATTCAGTGATTTAAATATAACCTCAAACTTCTTTTGGATTATTTTCTACCAGGAATGATATCAATCTACAGGGAGATTCTGATTTGACGGTACCTTGCATTTTTATTATTCATGAGGATTATGACAGATCAAGTCACGGTGCCAAGGCAGTGCCTACTTTTGGGAAAGTGAAGTTGGAGATTAGAGAGGATGGGCGGAAGAGATTAAAATTGCCGAGTCACTGTCAGCTGGCCCACCTTTGAATAAATGCTGAAAGAAATATTTATATTTGGCTCAGAAAGTTAGAGGCAAGGGAAATGGAAGAACATTTGGTTCTTTTCCTCCCACTCCTAGAGAATACAATGCTGAGATAGAATGAATGAAAAAACAAAAGAAAACACACCTTGATTTCCGTGTCCAGTGTTGGGGGTCGCTCTATGAATGTTGAGTAAATATCAAATGACATTCCTTCTTCCAGAGGATCTGGGAAGGGGTGACCTGCAGGCTTGACAACCTCTATCACTTGCTGGAGGGGAAGAAAAGAGCTGAATTATGACGTAGGCTTTGGTGAGTAACCACGATTTCAGTTAGTTCCCTTTATATGTACCAGTTACAAGTCTGTTATCTTTTAAGTAATCTTCTCTGAATTCTTGATGCCTTGCCCTCTTGGGTCTCTAGTGCTTTGTAGCTCCATATCTT